TGTGTTCCCTTCTTTTACACCCCTTCATGATAAGGAACTCAGTAGTTGGCCGGATGATCCGGAGTCACCAAATACAGCAACGAATCGGTATTCCGTCATCGCTGTCACCGTCAGAATGGGGGGCCGGTTCTTTGACGGCTTCAAAACAGCCACAATCTAGCGGTATTCCGTCACGGCCTACATCATCGTTACCGTCAACTAACGGCCAGTATATCACATCCGTCACCGTTAAGTAACGGCTTTCATTTGGCGGTTTCCAAGGCCCGTTATCTTTCCATCCATCTCCTTTCTTCCCCGATGTCACCGTTAAGTAACGGCTTTCATTTGGCCCCGTTATCTTTCCATCCATCTCCTTTCTTCCCCGAAGCTGAGAATGGCGGGACAGCTCAAGCTGAGAATGGCGGAACAGCTCGTCGCATGCAGTCGTTGATAAGAAGAAAAGAGGTTATCTGAGATCATCGGCTCTGATTCCGCTGTCAGCGTTTTCTTCCTCTCGCCCGCGTCGTATCTCATCTTTTCCTGGATTTTTGTTCTGTCTGATAAGGACATTCTCCAGATCGGGGTTCTTCTCTTTTATCACCTTACAGTTTCCCGTCTGATCAAACCTTCTTTGATCATTTCAATCTGTAAGAGGTTTTTGTTGTAGTCCCGCGTGTTCATTGTCCTTAGCGAAGAACTGGTTGGATTGTGAGGAGATTTAAGTTTATGTTTTTTATGTTGTTTTCTTGTGCTCTTACTATGCAGCTTATCGGTTAGGGTTGTCGGTTATGTGGTGAACTGTTCGTCATGCCCGGTGTGGCGGGGGTATAAATTAGTCTATTTCTGAAAACTGAGTAGGAGATCAGGATCGAGATCGAGGTGAAAGTGGGGAGAGAAAGAGAGAGAGATTTGAGATAGAGAAATCTATTTCTCCATGGGAGAATCCTTCCTAACTTCTCTGACTATGGACAACTGCTATCCTTCCACCTTCCTGTCTATGGAACCCGCTAACACTGGGGCAGCAGCTATGGCGGCATCCCATGAAGACTCTGATCGGGAGCTCATGATTCATAATCGACAGCAGATGTCCCTTTCGCTTCCTGCACCTGACATTAACCTTCCCCTCTCTGCTGAAAGCTCCACTCCGCCGCCGTCCTGGAGCTCCGATTCATGCGAGATCCTTGACCTCAGCCCTCATATGAATGAAGTTGAGGCCACCGTCCTCCATTTCCCTAAGGTGTGTAGCCGCAAGGGTACAAAGAGGGGCGATAGCTTTTGGGGCGCATCGTTTTTCTTCAACCACTACTTTAAGCCCTTGCTTTCTGAGAAATCCAAGGCGAAGATCATCTATGATGAAAATGGGTTCTCTGGTTTTGATAAATCTGATCTAAAGCTTGATGTTTTCCTGGTTCAGCATGACATGGAGAACATGTACATGTGGGTTTTCAAGGAAAGGCCCGATAACGCGTTGGGAAAGATGCAGCTTCGGAGCTATATGAATGGTCACTCTCGACTTGGCGAATCCCAGTTCCCTTTCAGTGTTGATAAAGGGTTTGTTAGATCCCACCGGATGCAGCGCAAGCATTACAAAGGTTTATCAAACCCTCAGTGTATCCATGGCATTGAGGTCGTGAGGTTGCCCAGTTTGACTCATATTCCAGAGGAGGATCGGA